AAGAAAAAAAAATAAAATTACTAACACAAGAAATAATAAGAAACAAAGAAATGAGGAATTGTTACATAAAATCAAAATTCTAATGAGAAGATTATATATATACATATGTATTGATAAGTGAGAAGATTATATGTTTTACCTTGATTGGGTAGGGTTTCATTGAACTCACAGTAAGATACAGACAAAATTTTAAGAGAGCTTATCATTCCAATGCTTTGAAGAAAATTATTGTGAAGAGAAGATCTATCCAAAAGCAATTCTTCCAACTCCTTAAAAGTGTGACTATCTAAAAATTAAGTATTTAGTTATTATTAGTAGTTTGGATAAATTGAGATAATGCACAATAGAAAAACTAAAATAAAGGTAAGCATTTCCTTTTCTCTCTTTTTTTCCCCCTCCTTTTTGCTTGTCTACATTACTTACCTACAACAGTCACTAGTTCTATAGACATACTAGTAGTAAGATCAAGGGTCTTAATTAAAGGGAATGCCCTAATTGACTATACTAGACAATTTCCACAAGTGTTGTTATTCCATCCTAGATTTAGGACTTCTAGCATACTCAAATTTCTTGTATCTACAAGCAAAAGAGGGAATCAAGATAAGCTTTAAGCCTACAGAGATGTGTTCCTGTAGCCAACTTGTGATCTTTTAAAAGGGACATATGTCCTATAGTAGCTAATGCAACAATGACCTTAAAAGTTCTGCTTGAACTTGAGCTAAATTTTTCCTTATTGATGTATAAGTAATTATAGTTCAAAAAAAAAATTTACAAGTATGAAACCAATGGGTTAAGTGTTCTAATTCTTTTAGGAATTTATTCATGAAAGGAACAACATGACTAGGCCTCATTATAACCAAACTTTCTAGTTTGATCATGTGTACCTTTGGGAGCCACAAACTTTCCACTTCATTATAGCTTAAATCCAACTCCTTCAAATTGTTTAGAGCAACTAATTCTGGTGGAGACAAAATACAAACAATTATATAAAAATAAGGGAAGAGAAGTTGCATTTCATTAAAAGGATATTCAATGACAGATGTCATTAGAAGGATATTCAATGATAGATGAAAATAGAAAACAAGTGAAGCAATTGATCTATCTTTAATATTTATTATTCCTTTTAATTTGTTCCTACTCAAATCAAGACTTCTAAGAGATGAAAGCCCTTTTAGGGAAGATAAAGTTGTGTTACTGAAAGAATTATTATACAGATCAAGCACTTCCAAATTACTTAGGCTCAGTGGTGTTTTAATACTTGCAACAAGGTTACTATTTCATAAAAAAAATTTTGAGTGTGAAACTAATGGATCAAGTTTTCTATTTCATTTAGTGTGTTTGTTGATGAAAGGAACAAAATGACAGGGCCTCAACATAACCATACTTTCTACTTCCGTAAATACCTTTAAGAGTCACAAAACTTTCCAAATTATTGTTGCTTAGATCCAGCTTCTTCAACTTATTTAAACCAACTAATTTTAGCAGTCATGGAGACAAAATGAAATCAGTTAAATTACAATAAGGGAAAAGAAACAAAATTTCATTAGAAGGATATAAACTGATTTATGAAAACAAAAAATAAGTGAAACAATTGATCTACCTTTAATATTTAGTACTCCATTGAATTTGTTGAAACTCAAATTAAGACTCTTGAGAGATAAAAGCCCTCTTAGGGAATACAAAATCATGTTATTAAAAGAATTATCACCTAGGTCAAGTACTTCCAAATTACTTCGGCCCAATGGTCTTTTAATACCTGTAATAGGATTTATTGTTTCATCAAAAAATTTCAATATGAGATTAATGGATCAAGTTTTTTAATTCTTTTGGGGTATTTGTTGATGAAAGGAACAAAATGATAAGGCCTCATCATAACCATACTTTCTACTTCCGTCAATACCTTTGGGAGCCACAAAACTTTCCACATTATTGTAGCTTAAATCTAGCTCCTTCAACTCATTTAAACCAACTAATTTTAGCAATCATAGAGACAAAATGAAATCAGTTAAATTATAACGAGGGAAAAGAAAAAGGATTTCATTAGAAGGATATAAAATGATTGATGAAAACAAAAAATAAGTGAAACAATTGATCTACCTTCAATATTTAGTACTCCTTTTAATTTGTTGAAACTCAAATCAAGACTCTTGAGAGATAAAAGCCCTCTTAGGGAAGATAAAATTGTTTTATTAAAAAAATTATCACCTAAGTCAAGCAATTCCAATTTACTTAGCCCCCAGTGGTCTTTTAACACCTACACATAGGATTTATAAGTAATAAGCATTAATTGTGTGTTTACAAATAATTAATGAGTAGCTCTAAGTCCCTCAAGAAAAATAATGATGTTAAAATTGGATATCATGCCTCATTTTTTAAAGTATATCAGATTAATTGGTTATGTCATGTAAAAGACTACTTGGAATATAGAGACTTCCTTCCATCTGATTGGTTGCTTGATTTAACACTTTTAAGGATGAAAGACCTGCCAAAGATGATAGGATGCCATTGTTTAATCGGTTTTCACTCAAATCAAGAACCTCCAAATTGTTTAAGCTTGACAACTTTTCTAGACCTATGAAGAAATTAATATAATTAGTTGTGTTGCAAAACTAAAAATTCTAATACCACATATCCCACAAAATGAATAATTAAAAAATTTTGCCTTGAGAAGAAAGAAAAGAATAACCTTCATTCTCCATGAAGCCTAAAATGCGATTTCCTCACAAGAAAAGACTCTTTAACTCTTCAAAAGGTAAAAACAGAGAAGAATTTAAATATCAACCCTTAGAATTAGAGACACAACCTCTAGTATAATTAAGAGAGAGCTTAATCACTCCCTTTGTTGTGATGTTGCATTCAATCCCAACCCATTTACAACAATCACCATGACCTCCCCAAGTTGCTAAAACATCGTGAGTTGGGGGAGGGATTGAATGTTTGAGATTTAAGAGGGCAATCCTCTCTTGCTCCAAACACCCACAACAACAAGAGCAAAACCACCCACTTACCAAAACCAACATTACAATTGCTCCAACCCATTTTTTCTCCATTTTTTGTTCTTTGTTTTTTGGATTGAAGCAATATAGCTCCATCTTCTTCTTACAATGGAGTTTCAATTTTGGTCAAAGATGGAGGTGCTTGGGCGCTCAGGTAGGTGAGAAGGTGACCATAGACTCAAGTACATAAATGCCAATAACGACATAACCAAATATCATGTTGACCATGAGTTTTTTTTTTTTTTTTTTGGGAAAATAGGCAATGTGTTGACTGTGAGTTTGGGTCTTGCTTTTGCTATTCCAGTACATTAAATTTGATGCAAGTTGTTCTCATAGGCTATAGGGACATGAAGAATATGAGTCTCCCCTTAAAAATTAAAAGAATAATAAGTTATTTAAATATATTTATTCATTAAATTAATGCATTAGTTAGTTGGTAGATATATCTCTCCAACACCGTCACTGTCATTCCAAATCCGAGCAAAAGAAAGAAATCCCCATAGGGATTTCAACTCCACGTGAAGTGATGGCAAAGACTAATCAGCACCGACTCTTAAGACAAGACAATCTTGACTTTGGCTAAAAGGAAGCAACTTTTGTATATGCTACTTTCTTGGTAGGAAATTTCCAAATTAAACTTTGCATTAATGGTTGTGCGGTATGTAATTTCTTTTTAAAAAATGGATTTGAAAAAGTCACATTAAAAATAGATTGACTTTGTTTTGAAAATTAAAATTCTCATAAGAAAATTGACTGCAATGTTTGATTATAATAAAAATGTAATTGGTTATATTAGTTATATAATTAATTATAAATAAAAAATAAGTAATTATATATGATATAATTGAGGTAAAATTTTTCAAAATTTTTTTTAAGAAAGTTAACATATAATCAATAACTAAATTATTATAATCAATTATAATGCAGCTTGATTTTCATATTAGAAAACCTAATTTTTATTGTAACTTTTTCAAATTATTTTTCATGAGAAATTGCTTAAAAAACATGAGTGTGGTTATTGACACTATTAATATTGTTAAGGTCATTAAAATTTTAGTTTTTTTTCTTAAATAGATTCTGAAAAATAAGTTTATTAACTGATTTTCTTTTCTTAACTAATAAATATCAATTATTTTATAAGTTATTAGTTAATAATTATAATTATTAATTATTTTTAATAATCAAATTAAATAAAATTAATATGTTTAAATATAATATTTTACAATTTTAATGACCATAACATTATTATTGGTGTCAATTGCCGTGCCCAGGAAATAGATCCTGAAAGCATTTGAATCCAAGGCTATCCCTTGAACACTCACTTTCTCTTACAATTCTCATTTTATATCAGTCCCTCTTTAAGTCTTGACTCTACAAGTTAAATGATTCTTTTGGAAAACCTACAAAAGTTAGCCAGAACAAAGTAGTAACAAGAGGTGATGTAGACTTCAACGAAGTAAAACCATACCCATCTCCAATAAGGATTTATGTATAGAATTGCTACAATTCCCATCAACAGTGCAACCTAAGTTACCATAAGGCTCCAGTAGAAAACACTCACGTCAATCAAACTATTGTTTTCCCTATCATCATTGGAGACATTGACTAGAAATGATGGTGATTCAATTTTGGTGCAGTTAATCTGCACTGGAACTCCACAAAGGAGGATTTACTTCATAGCTACTTTCATCAGAGGTCCCATACTAAGCTTTTTGATCAGGAGTTGGTTTTGATAAGTTGTTGTGTGCAACAGAAAACACAACCAAGGTGTTTAGCTCAGTCAATTGAGGGGGGATTCTCCCATTAAATTGTTATAGGAAAGGTCTAAACTTTAAATCTGCTTCAGGTTTGAAAATGTAGAAGGAATTAATCTTATTATCTTATTGTGTGACGTTTTTGGTGCATGGATCTCGTCCAAGTATCCAACTTCAAGTGGGATCCTTCTAGTGAGATGGTTGCAACCTAGACATGTAATCAAGGATGCTTCCATTGTAAACACATGAAATGCTTTTTGTTTTAAACTCTATCCCATCCTCCACGTCAATGACCTTATATTTATGTGTCAAGAAGTCCCCAAAATTCTTTGAGAGCTTTGTGTCCTCCATCCCTGTGCCTGACCATGAATATTCCTTTGAAAATCTGTCCCCTCCAAAAAGATTATTATCAATTGGAGGATCTAATGCCTCAAATGTTAAATTACTCAGACAGATTGGTATAGAACTAGACTGTTATTTTGAAAAAGATCCAGCATACTTAACTTGTTCAACTGACAAATCCGGACAAGAATTTCAAGTTCAAAATGGTTAGCTTTCACAAAATAATGCTCAATGAAAAAGGTAGGTTGTCGATCTAACCAGGAAGTAAACCGATTAGATTGTTCTCCGTAAGGTCTAATGTCTCCAAAAAAGAGCAACCATAGAATGCTTTTGTCAATGGCCTTGTCAAACTATTCTTGCTCAAATGAACATGCGTTATTTGAATTGGATTGAAGCATTATGGAATAGTGCTAGACAAGTAGTTGTCTGAGAGGTTAAGAAATACAAGAATATCAAGGCCACAAACTTTTGCAAGAAAAGGACCCATAAAATGATTTTTGGACATGGACAACCCATTCAAGGATGATATATTTCCCATCCATCTTGGAAGCTAGCTTGAGAAGTGGTTGTTGCTCATGTCTGTTATTGGTGGTGAAAAAGAGTTAAACGGATGAGAACTCAAGTATCTCTATAACAAAGTTATTACCGCTCAGTTGTAACAAATTTAACTCTGTTAAATTGAAAAGATGAGGAAATACTTGCTCCTACAAATTATTACCTAAAAATCTGAGAACTTCCAAGGGACAAACCAAGACTAGTGATTCTAGTATTCCTATAGAGAACCAGTTGTTGGACAAGTCTAAATAGGTTAAGAGCTCAAATGACCAAAGGAATCAAGGATACTCCCGAATAAATAATTGTTTGACAGGCTTAGAGTTTCTAAGCTTAACGTTTCTACTAATTTCATATCACCAAAAGAAGTAGGAATCTAACCTTAAACGGAATTTTTGGACATGATTAAGGCTATAAGATGGGAAAACACTGAACTCATGTTTATAGGAATTTTTCCCAATAAGCTACTCTTGGATACATCTAAGATTTCAATGTTGAAATGAGGTTGTGAAGGCAACTGCAAAGGTTGTGAAATGGAGTTATCTCCTAGTTTAAGTACTTCTAATCCTGTATTGTTCCTGAACAACCAAGATAGGAATCCTCCTGTGATGTTATTGTGGGAGAGACAGTGTTTTAAGAACCGGATCGGACCGGTCGGTTCAACCGATTGAACCGTCAACCGGTGGACAAAACGGGCTGGGTGGACACCCAGGCCCGTTTAGACGGTTGGATCGTCCAAACCCGGAAGAACCGTTCGACCCGTCCAACCCGATAGACCCGGTGAACCGGCCGGGCGAATTCTTCCACGGTGACTGGACGCTGCAAGCATACTGCAACTTCGTTTTCATTTTTTTTTTCACGATTTCCCACTTTTTCCAACACAAAAGCAAAATCTAATAGTTTTTTCTCCATTCTCTAGTCTCCATCGGTTCTCCACTCTCAAGTCCAGTCTCCATTGCTTTTCCAGATCTGATCGTTTTCTCCATTACTGTTCTGGATTCTTTAGTTTCCAACTTTCCATCACTTTTCCAGCCATATCGACAAAGAAGAAACCACAGGGTAGCACCGTAGCAGATCGGGCAACAGATCGCTTCTCCTTCGCATCTCCAGATCCAACAGCAGATCAGCTTCTCCATCGTATCTCCAGATCGGGAAGCAGAGGGCAGCAGATCAAATCAGCCTTCATCGAAAGACTTGTCTAAAACCACCCATTAAATTAGAGGTTGATAAAAAGGAGCCATGAAAGATCATAATTGGATTTCTGTTTTTTTTTTTTTAAATCGCTTGATGATGGTTTGTGTTCTGATGAAGTGATGATCAATTGCAATGGAATTAATTGTACAGGGCACTCGCCTCGCGCACTCTCCAGCCAACACTTTCACTTTTATTGGGCCACGTTATATTGGTTGAAGAGGTATCATAGATATATTTACATCTTAGATATATTTATAAAAACAGTATATAGACATATATATAATTAATTATCATAAAAAATGATTTGACATGAAAAACAGAGTATGATACTTTTATAATAGTTAATTATATTTATATATATATATGTCTATGTACTGCAATGAATTATTATAAATATATCACACTTTTATATGAATTAATTGTATGATACTTTATTTATTTATTTAATTTTAAAACTTGTTTTTCATATATATTTTGTTTTGGAATTTATTTTTAATATTATTATGTGAATTTATATATTTATTAA